AGCCTTGGTGAGTTCTCACCCAGGGTTTCTGTGGGTCCTGTAGGATGTAAATGGCTGGTCTCTTCTCAGGGATATAAAATGTCTGACTGGAGAGGCAGGGTTCAGGCTCAGCTGAATTCCTGGCAGAGTTTTGTGCATGGCCAGACCACCTGGTACCTCTGTGCTGAGTGTGGAGTCCCTCCTTGCCCTGTCCTTGTCCTTCAAACATAACAAAGTGGAAAGAGAGAAGCAAGAAGGCAAACTGCTGTGTAGTGTTTCCTCACAGAGAGCAAGACAGAGTGAAGCAACAGGATATATGAAAGGGTTTCAGCAGGATGAAGAGTAAAGTTCTGGACTATTTTCCATTAGTTAATCTGTCACCTGCCACGAGGCTCCTTTATCTTTGAGCCTGAGAAGGCCCCATTTTGTCCAGTTCATTTTAATCACTGCATTTCAATATGTGTCTAAAAAAACAACAACAAAACCCCATCTGCATGAAACCAAATTTGATATTTGCTCCCTCTCTTAACGCGATCCCATGAATTTCTTACATTGTTGTGTCCCATGTAGTAAGGGTCCCATGCAGAGAGCAAACAATACAGCAGTGAGAAGACAGATGCTCTGCTAATGGGAAACCAAGGAGCAGAGAGACTGTGAGGGATTACAGGCAGCCTGGGGTTGGAATACATTATTAGCATAGCACCCAATTCAGAAATTAGTTTTCAGAATTAAATGCCTGAAGCATTTTGGCAAAAACTCCTTATCATCCCGCTCAAAAGCTCTTAAAGCCTAAAAGAGCAGGAATCTCAAGCCTAGGCTGAGCAGCCCCGTTCGGTGACTTTGCAGTGCTGCAGCAGTGAATTGGAGATTTTACAGCTTCATACCATTACCGGGGCAGCAGCTGCCACACCCACTGAAATGTAACCCACTGGCTCTGCTTGCACAAACCTTCAGCAGGTTTTGAACATCCTCATCAAAGAAGCAAATGGGCCTGAATGAGATTCCAGGGTCTGTTTCCAGGAGGAAGGTTTTGTTTTGTTGAGTGCATAACAGCAGGGAAGAGCAGCAGCCCCTCCTTGGGCACGGTCAGGCATGTGAGGGAGGAGCAGTGACTTGTCTTTTCAAAGGCCTGACATTGCCTAAGGTAGAAAGTTTGGGTCCTGAAGCCTTTTTCAGGCACACTATTTTCTGAATGTTTTTCTTTCGAAAATCATGATGGGAACATCAAACTTTAAAAGTTGGACAACCAAGATTTGCTACAGGACTGAGAACAGGCAGGAGAAATTATATCTCCTTGGTGGGATTATCCTCCATGCATAATTGTTCATGATATGCTCAAAATTCATTGTTAATTTCTTTTAGATATATTGCATATTAGAGAGAAGAGTTATAAATCCCAAGATTATCACAGGAGGATACTAACAGGCCTAAATATTCAGGACAGAAGGGGTCTTGTTTTCCTCTTACATTGAACAAAGACTCTTGGACAGGATCATTAGAGATTTTTTTTTCTCCTGTTTGATAATCAAAGTATATTGGACAGCAAACAAAAGAAAAGTTCAGCCAGCCAAGTCTTCTACTTTACTTTTACTCTTCTATTCTAACATAATTAACATATTTCTCAAGGTTTATTTCGTTTCCCAGAGTCTTATTTTATGTAAGTGTCATTGAGGAGCTGAATTACAAAGTCTTGATTTGTGCATATAAAATGAGATTTTATTATCCTGGTAGAGAAGACAATGACAAGGTAAATAAGGGAGAAAACAGTTGAGACCAGACTGAGAAATCAGGAAAAATTATATGCCAGCTCTTCAACTTGCACTTTGTTTTCTTTGCATCCTGGTGTATCCAGCATTCTACTCCTGAGTGACAGAAGGGATAGTAAAGGGTAACACTTCATTTTCAGCTTTGAATTTCAGAGCTAGTCTTTCAATAACAACTTCTCTGAGTGTTTTTATACATGCTTAAGGAGTATCTGTAATGAATATTAGGGAGAGTTCAAAATTATGCTTCCCATTTGTTGTGGATACAGAGTGTCCATAAACTTCGGACTGTTTCCATCCAGACTGAGATTGGTCTGCATTTACATCACTTTACTGCTCTGCCAACAAAATCCTTTTTTTCAAGGACCTGGCACAGAGGGAACCCTTCTAGAGTAAGGCTAGAATTGAGCCCACACTCCTTAAACCCTGAATGAAATTGTGCCTATGAATACCAGGGGAGCAGGAACCAGAGCTGAGATGATGATGATGAGGGTCTTGCCTGTCATTCTGTGTCACTGCACTGCTTCACCTCGGCCTGTTTTACATGACTGGGAGTGGGGCTGGTGTGCTCAAAGGCTCTCTTCACTCCTCCTGCTCTGTCACTATTAAGAAAGGCTCCAAGTGTGTGCAGTGGAACATCCTCTCTCTTTCCTGCTCACAAGCTCTGGGTGCCTCTCCCTGCCAGCCATGCTGGGAGCCCACCCTGGGAGGCTCTTGGTGTGCTGACAGACAATAAAGAGGCAGTTCTGCCTTGTCTGCAGTCTGGAGCAAGTCACAACACCTCTCCCACTGCACACACGGGATCTGGGAAGGTTGTTAATAATCGACTGCTTCAAAGACAGACGTTGACAATTTTAATTAGTGTTTTAAGACTTTTAAATTCTACCTCTAAAATTCAAAGCTTAGTACAGTAGCCCTGTTTGAACACACCAAATCAGGATCAAACAGTGCAAAGAAACAGTTTACAGCAAGCTCCAGAAATGTTGAGAAAGTAATTTATTACTTTTAGCAGCAGTGCCCACAGTATTGCCATCCTGTCGAAAACAGTGCTGCTGGGCTCTCAGGCTGTTATTCTTTTCCAGTTCAAATAGATTTAAAATATAAGCAGACCTGGATCCAAAACCCTGATGTCACTGAACCAGGCCTTCAGTCTGTCTGGGATTGACTCTGTGGCCAGGAGAGGGAAGAGTGTAGTGGTAAAGGACAGCTCCCTGAGCCCGTGAAATATTTTGTCACTGCTGTTAGACTTACTGCCATTTTGCAAAGTCTTCTTAATGGGGTAATCCAGTTCTGGATGTGTTTGACTAATAGCAATTCTCTTGCTAAAAACAAATCATGGTTTTAATTTAATAGGGCTAGTTATATAAAGAGTGATTTTGTGTCAGCAAAGCTTTTCTTTCTGACAAACAGTATAATTGATGAAAATCTAGTTAGCAATAAATGCCATTAATCTGACCACTATGCCATTCTCTTCCTGGGGAATAACGTCCCCTCTTAATCAATACCTGGGTGAATGCTCCTTTGCATTCCTTATCAAATGACAGCCAGATGGTACTGGTAAATTCATTCCAGCAGGATTTTAGAATTAGCTGGGTTTGTGCTGTTGTTAATCCTCTGCTGTCTGTGTCACTGGGACCTGCCCACCTGTTTCCAGTAAGCCTGCAGTTCCCAGCCCTAGGAAGCAGTCTAGCCAGAGGGTTACTCAGCCACGGGGCAGCCAAGAAACTTCCCAAGCAGTGAGACCTCTTTTCTGCATCAGTAAGAAGAAAGAAAAACCAATATAAGTAGTATCTTGCAGAAATAGCCAGCTAGGACTGCCTGCCTCTGTATTTGTTCCTCTGCCCCCTGATCTCTTCTAGGGAAGTTTCAAAGTTCCTTATAACTGCATGAGCTGTGTATCTTAGGGCATAGTAAATTTTGGGCTGTGACAGCTGCTATATCATTTACTGACTTCTGGGCCCATCAAAGTGTCTACGAGACCTTTCCCTTCATAATCACTTTGTTGCACAGCAACAATAATTTTGTCTCCAACCTATTGATCCAACATAACATGTAATCCCCTCACTCCAATAAAAAGGAAAACATATGGCAGCTCCAGGCAGGGAACCACAGGCTTTTGTCGTGAGGGAGCAGTTAATCCCCACTAAACCAGGGGGGAATGGAGCAAGATACACACTCTGTTGGGGCTCAGAGGATGCATTAGGTGCCTGAGCCAATTAACCTGTGTTCTGGGAGAAGAGTCTGGTTTACATTCATCCTCCCCTTCCTCGTCTTTTATGCTGTGCAACTACAGCACAAAATGTGCTCTGCTAGAGGAGCATCACTGTGCAACCCCCCCAGGTAGGTGGGCACCCCTTCCCCCTGACAGGATGGTGCACACACAGCTCTCAGCTGAGATGGGGCTGCAAAGGGTGAGGGGAAAGTTCAGCCCCTGCAAACACCAGTTTCAAATGTACATGGCTGGAGTTCCTCAGGAAGATGTCTCTTGTTTGTAGGCTGTGGTTTGGTGGGTCAGTCTGATAACCTGAATGGTTTTTCTGTACTTCGAAACAGAGGGCTAAAAGCAGACTTTGGCATCTGAAACAGCATCTGCTTTGGGGACAAGAGCACAAAGTTAAGGCAGGACCATTCAGGCAGGGAACACAGAGCTTTGGTCCCAAGCAGGCAAAGCATCTCCCCAGAGCCATGCCCTTGGCACTGACTATCATTCTGAGGTACCTTACTGCTGCCCTTACTGTGCAGTGAGCCCAGGCTCCTGTGAGTGCACTGCTGGATTCTTCCCTGGCTGGAAGGCTTGGTATCTAAGGCAGCTAAATCCTTCTTGGGCCTGTCTTCATTTTTCTAGCTTGCAAATAGCACTGAGTGAAATGTAGGTCCAAACTCTGAGGTCACTAATTTGAGCTGGATTTGGGAGGTGAGTCCTCTGTTATTTAAAACAACCACCAAAAGAGTCAATTCAAGCTAATTTCTGCGCATCAAACAAAAACTTTCCATATAGACTTTAAAAATAGAAAATGAATCCTACAATAATACTGTTACTTTGAGAATCTCAGTGGAAATATTGCAGTGGATCAGAAGGCCAAACTGGCACCTGAACGTGCTGCAAGAGCCGAGCGAAGCCTTCTGAATCACTGTCTCCCAAACCTGTGTCATACACAGCATAGGCTGGGAAATAGCTCAGCCTTCACCTAAAAGGTATTTCTGTTTCTCCTAGAGGAGTGCCTTCTAATGATCCTTTCTTTTCTGTCATTTTAACAGTATTCAGGTTTTCAGCAAACAGCAGACAAGTGCTTTGTTTGTGGACACCTCATAATGGAAATGGTAAGAGACCTAAACTCCTAATGACGGGTAACTTGGGAGGTGCACTGTGAGACATCTGCTTTCCCTACCCAGGCTGGTATTGTGGCTTCACTGCTGTCAGTATAGTTTTTGAAACTGAGGTAGTAAATAAAAATACCTTCATGCTCTATTACTACTATTAAGTACAGAAAGTTGGGCTTCTTTGCTACTTAGGAATATGGAAGGCTGTTATTCTGTCATTTGTGAGTTAAAATAAAATAGAATTTTAATACTAAAGGGGGAAAGTACAGCACAACTTCATATGAGAATATGGTAAAGGAACACAGTGGATGTGCCCTGTAAGACAGCAGATAACAAGAGCTGAGTAGCGTGTGGAAACCGGGATAGAGCAGAGAGGGACAGTATCAATAGTCCTGAGGTTTGTCACCTGCTCTGTGACCTGCTTTGTTTACCCTCTGTTGCTTGTTCCACGTCATTTAAAATGTATTATTGCCACTGGGATTTGCAGGAAGCCAATAGTCAGAGTTACTTTTGTAATAAAAAAAAAATCAAAGGGCTTTGGGTTGGCCAGATACTACTGGCATCATTTCAGTGGGTGAAAGCAGGAAGAGTTTTGTGTGCTCTTCCTAAGCAGAAATTCCCAAACACAATGAAGTGGTTTGCACAACGAAGAAGGGCAGATCCTGTAGTGTATCTATTTTCCTCTTGCTTTAAAGTGTGCATGAACCTCAGTGTGCTTAAGAGAAGTAGCTGTTGTGTTGCACACACGGAGGTTCAGTCGGAGCTGGAACAGAGACTTCACTAATGAGGATTCTGGCTCATATCCTGGCACCACTGGTTGGACAAGGATATTGTTCGTTTTAGCCCAACAGCAAATTTCTAGAGTTGTGTCATGCTGGGAGGGGGAGGGGTATCCTGACTTGCATGCTTTGAGCTGGCCCTTAATTGCAGAATCCCAGGCAAGAGTCCATAATATCTCACTGGTGGAGCTCAGTAGCTGGAAGCTTGGCAGGTGCTTGTCTGCCTCTCTCCCATCAGCAAGTGTGCTCTGACAAAAGGAAACAGCTCTGGGAGCTCCAGGAATTCAGCATTCCTCAAACGCTCCTATTTGGCTAATTCCAGAGGGTTCTGCATGGGAGTGCAGCCCAGCCCTGCCGTGTGCTGGCCTGGGGCAGAGCTCGGGCAGTGCAGGGGCAGTGCAGGGGCTGTGCAGGGCTGTGCAGGGGCTGTGCAGGGCTGTGCAGGGGCTGTGCAGGGCTGGGCAGGGGCTGTGCAGGGCAGAGCTGGGTGAGGATCTGCCCTGTGCTCAGTGCCTGTGGCTGCACCAGCTGTGCCAGGCTGGCACCACAATTTGCTCCTGCAGCAGCACCAAGCCCAGTACAGGGACCATTCATTGGTTCTAGCTTGGAATGGCCTTACCAGTCAAACAGAGTCTGATCCCACTCACTGAACTACAGAACTTCATCAGAGAGGGAAAAAAAGTTAAAACAAATTGTCCTCTTTTTTTTCTGTGCTTGTTTCCTCTTGGTTTGATCTTTATTCATAGCATCACTTACAGAGACATGGAGCTTGGTCTATGTAGATTTTCATCTCAAGCTTCCCAGCAGCTCCAAGCTGAGCACTGCTAGCAGCTGAAATTTTGAAATTACCTTCCAAAGATACTTCTTACACCCAAAATATATGGAACTGGTCATATAACCTGTTGAGAGCTGCCTGAAAGTGATAACTGTGTCTCCCTCTTGCCAGGGGCTTGTTCATGGGTTTGCAGCATCCTCCTTGATGTTCCAGTACCACACTGACTGTTACATACAGGAATGTCAGGAGTGGAGGATCTGTTCTGTAGCAGTGCAGCCAAGACTGCATCAGATCTTTGCTTGAAACCTTTAAAATGCAGTAGGGAAGGTCAGCATGGGAAAAGCCTGGGCAGGTACATGGATCAGTATCCAAACAGATGGATAGTGATGGAATTTTATCAGAAACCAGTGGGCCCCTATGACTGAGTCATAACCAGTCAGTAACTGGGAGATTAGGATCTTTAGTTAATAAAGAGGAACCTCTTTATTTGCTTGTTTTGTTATTTAACTTTTTGATTAATGACCAGCTCAGATTCAGTCTGTCACAGCCTGTTAAGTTTTGTAAAATAACTCTGTATCCCAGTAACTTGTATTTGGGATTTCCCCAGAAGTAGTGAAGCCATTTTTAATTCCCATTGGCAGTCCTAGCCCTGCAGAGGTAAAGCTGATGGGCTTAGCTGCTTTTCAGTTCTTGCTCTTCGTTGGGAGCATATTGAAACCCACTTAAATAAGCCAGTTGATTGTTTTAAGAGGCTCCTTGCTGACAGATCTGCAGAGTGGTAATTTCATCCTGAAGTGCTTTTCTCACTGTCATTATTAAGAATGAGAGAGACACAGCAATTTATGGGGAGAGAATATCTCATGTAATCATGCATGCACTTACTTTGTTGTTTGCCTCATAAGATCTTACAGGCCCTTGGAAAGTCCTACCATCCTGGCTGCTTCCGCTGCGTGGTGTGCAACGAGTGTTTGGATGGAGTCCCCTTCACTGTAGATGTGGAAAACAATATTTACTGTGTCAAAGACTACCACACGTGAGTACACAAATCCACTGCCTGCTCAGAAAAATTACACTAGTTAAATCATTGATGTAGTTATAAGGCTTGTGATAGGTAAAAAGGTCACTCCTATTTGTTCAGATGTCCCTCAACTGCTTCTTTCATGTATTGCATTTAAGTATTTTAAGGTTTGTTAAGTAGTGCTTCATGGGCCCAGTATGGCATACAGTGGCCAAGTGAGGCTGAAAATCAAATTGTGTCAGAGGATGTATTTCTTGGCTGTTCTCTACTTCTTTCACGACTACCAACACTAATTTTACCAGGCCACTTCTGCAAGTGTTGGTAGGTTCTGCTGGCAGTTTCAAGAGCAGAGGTTCTGGCAGTGCTTGACATGGGTGTAAGTTTTGTTAACTGAGACAGAAGACATGTAGTTAACAGTTAGTGTTAGAACAATTTGAGCCTTACCTGACAAAAGGTAGAGTTGAAGAGATTGCTTTTGGACTCCTTCCTGATTCCACTCAAAGGCAACGGTGTCCTGCTCTTAGCTCCAGTTAACCAATAACTCACTTATGCAGCAGGAGTCAATCACCCTGAATTCAACCCTACTGGTGCCAATCTGTCTGTGTTACAAGGACACAGGGAGTGCTGGCCCAGTGACTGTCATAAAATGCAGCTGTGGACCATAAGCCCATCTGTGTATTTAGCTGGTAGATTCTGGCCACCATCAGCCCCTCTCCTGTTAGGCATGGTTATGTCTTTCTGATGTCAGAGAGTGACAGTCCCTAAGTCAGGAGCTGCTTTGTAGTCAAGCATCAAGGCTCTGGGATTTGAATGGTTTAATAAATAAAGGAAGCAAAGAAAAATGGCATGTACAGGAAGAGGGGTGGATTCACTATGCCTCAAGGTCAGGCAGACCTAAACAATAAGGTTGGAGTAGATCAGCCTTTCCCAAACCTCCTTTTCATTCAATATCATGTAAAATTAGCGGCGTTTCAAATCCTGTGGATCTCCATTTTCCTAAAAACAAGTCATGATTAGAATGGCTCTCTTAGCTCTACTTTTTGAAGATGTTTTCAATGTGATTGGGACACTTTCTTTTTGCACCCTAGGGTTTTTGCACCAAAATGTGCTTCCTGTAACCAGCCGATCCTCCCAGCACAGGTAGGTGTTAACATGCACTGACTCTTAGGGAAAACAGCTCTTGGCATATGGGCATTTTCTAAAAACACACTAAAGGCTTTTCCTTCCTCTCCCAGAATCTGTACTATGTTAGATACTAAATTAAACACAGTTCAGCAGTAAAGTCACTCCCAAGCATTCCCAGAGGTTGTAATAGTCATACTACTTCTACAGCATAGTACTTTTATATCTTCAGGGTGCTTTCCAGGTCTTCATTAATCTGTTAGAAACCTCATTTAATTGAAAACACTGACTGGGACTCCAAAAACAACTCGAGGAGTAAAGCCCTTGAAAAGGATCTGATGGTTACCCTGACCCTGTGAGAAGGCCACACAGTCTGTTGTCCTTAGGTCATGGACATGGAATGAAAGTTCTTAAAGGTGTTGAAAAGACAGCAACAAAAATGGAACAAGCTGCTTGCAAGTTCAGCCTGTGCTGACAGTGTTATTGGCACAAGTAGCCCAGAGTGGGGCTCCCTTGTGCTCTGGTGGGTGCAGGACCCTCTGAGCTGTCTTTGCTGAGGTCACTGACCAGCTCATTTGTAAACAAGGGCCTCAGCATCTCCCTGCTTTTCCTCCAGTCATGTTTACAGAGCCAGAGCTTCCCTCCTGTAAGCTGCTGTGCCCCAGTAAAGCCTGATGCTAGAGCCTCTCACGTGCCCACCCCCATCACTCTGCACATTACTCTCATTTGTCATTAGTATTTCTGTTAATTGGCCAAGTCTTACATAACCAAAAAACCCTATAAAGGCTGAAGCAGAACTGCTTGTCCTGATGGGTTGTGAGGAGAAATGTAAATTTCTCTATGTAAATGACCCCACTGAATTGGGGTCTTAAAAATTATGTTTTTCTTTTCAAGAAAGAAAGAAAAAGAAATAAAAGGCAGTCGTAGTGCTGACTCACCTGATGCCTAGCAGGACACACTCCATATTCTTTCCCAGGGAGATTTCTTAGGTTAGTTCAAGTCTAGCAGTGCAGGTGCTAACTTGCCCACAACTTCTCTCAGACATAGTCCACATCATATCTGGTGCTCTAACCACGCCTGGAACTGGAAACAATGCAAGGCAACCAATTTAATGAGCTCTGTCTTCAGAGTGGATCAGGAAAAGAGCCTGTGAGGTTACTAGAAGGGTATTGGCTGCTCTGGAGGGCCTGGGGCTCAGCCAGGAATTGCACAACTCTGCTACACCCACCCTCACCTGAGGTTCGGCCTGTGCATAAATTTACCTGCCAGACTGGTATGTCAGTCCCTGTGGGGACACAGTGACATGTGCATGTGCAAAAGAGCTGTGCAGCAGATGGTTTGAGAGGAATGCAAGTCCTGGAAAACAGAGCAGGATGTATACAAGGAAAAGTTACCCAATGACTGGTAATTTGTTCAGATCCTGGGTGCCCTTGGAAGATTTCTTGATTTCAAGACTGATTTGTTCCTTGAGGATGAGGTTTTGGCTACACTTCCCAAATGAGCTCTGCAGTTTAGATGTGCCAGACACCCAGGCTGCTGCTGCACAGCTCGGGAGTGGTGCAGTGCCATGTCCCAGGGAGCTGCAGTGGTCACACAGCTGGGCTGCGTGGGGGAAGGGGGGATCCCGCAGGGAACAGCTCTGCAGAGCGAGGGGCCGTGCACTGCGGGCAGACACAAAATGCTTTTAGACACCACTGTCACTTCCTCTGCTCCCCGCCAGGGCTCCGAGGAGACCATCCGGGTGGTGTCCATGGACAAGGATTACCACGTGGAGTGTTACCACTGCGAGGTGAGCCCGGGATCGGCCCCGGGGGAGGCTCTGCCTTGGGGGGACCTGCTCTGCCTTTGGGGGATCTGCTCTGCCTTTGGGGGATCTGCTCTGTTTTGGGGGACCTGCTCTATCTCGGGAGGACCTGCTCTGCTTTGGGGGGACCCTGACTGACCCCATGGGCTGCACTTGCTGTCTCTTGCACAGCTGGGCAGGTAGGGCTCTGCCCCAGAGCTCCTGGAGGAAGACAAAGGGGTGAATACTGCCTGGGTTGGAAGTGGTGCTGCCATCTCCAGTACCAAATTAGTTTTGGAGGGTTTTTTCCTCAATATATTAACTTCAAAGCTGAGCTTGGTATGTTGGGTTGAGTTTTCTTAATACTTCCAGATGGGGAGTGAGCAAAGACTACGTGCCAGTTCTGTTTTTCCTCATCTCTAGGTACAGTCTGTAGGGCTCTGATCTGAGGATTGAATTTACACTGGCTGAGCAGGAAAGGTGTCACACTGGAAGGCCTTTCTAGGGGATCTGGTTTTTCCATGCTGAGTGAATATTGATTCTTTACTAGGAAATTGACAGGGACACCATTGACTTTCTGTCACTTTCTGGGGAATAGTTTCTTACTGTGCAGAACATTTAAACATTTATTGCCACAGATGAAGTTGTGGAATTAGTGCTCTTGCTTCAGAGAGGAGACCTGAGTTCATCCTTAGTTCTTCATCCACGAACATGAGACAGGAGACAAACTCACTAAGTTAGGATCAACCAAAAACTTCCCTTTTGCCATAGGTTTGACACTGACATAACACACAAATATCCACACAGATCTTACCTGTTAGCACCAGGGGTAACAATATAGCAGTGCTGCCTTCATGCACTATTACACAAAGGTTTTACAAGAATCTTCTGACTGAGAGAGAAAATAACAAAATTCAGGGTATCTTGAAATGTTCTGCACCTAAATGTAAGGAAGACCCCATCCACTCAGCGATCTCCTTTCAACAGACACCTGATACTCCATCCATTTCTACTGCAATTTTCAAGAGAAATTGGCACAGGAAATCGCAGTATTTTGGAGAGCTGAACTTGCCTCCTCCTTCCCCCACCTATTGCTTTGTGCAGGCTTCACCTAAGATGACAGCTCCCTCCCCTGCTCTCAGGCTATTGACTTTATGCTGGAATGTCCCACTGGGGGTTTATTTTCTGTTCTGTTTCATTATTCATTTCCCCATTCTCCATCCCATTTGAGGCAAATCAAGCTGCCTCCACATCTGCCCAGAAAGGCAGAGTGCATTTATGTACAGAAATCAGGAGTCAGCCGTGTGCCAGCAGGGGTGGGTTACTGCCTCATGCTCTCAGATCAGGCTCTCTGTCCACTGCTGTCCCCAAATGCTGCTGGAAAAGTGAGTGCCAGTATTTTGAGGTGTGCACGTGAAGATTTTAGCAAAGGCTGCCATGACTTAGGCAGCCACTTCTCTTCTGCTGTTGATGTCATCCTCACCTGATGGCCACACACAGCCAGTGGTTAAGTTGGAAACTTTACAGCTTTTCTGTGTCATCCCTTTCATGTGCAACCACTTGTCTTCTGTGGAGGAGTTCAAGCCCTTTTCAGATCACTGAAGCCTCATTCTGAAACTGGAATCCACTGACAAGGCCTTTCCTTGCAGAAAGGGAATTCAGTTTTGGAGAGAGAAAAAGATACAAACACTTGGCACATATGTAGGGCATCTGAAATTGGTAAATTCTAATTTTAAATCTTGTATAAATTGCTATAAAATCATTATATAATATGTTGCAATACAAAAAAAAAAAAAAACCTTTGCAGATACTTGGATTAAGATCTCCCTAAACTAAACTCCAGTTTTAAAGCTTACTTAAAAACCCATTTTCAGTCTTATTTTAGTATTGTAAAATCTGAGGATTTAAACTTGAGCTGTGAAGGAAAGCTGAAAAATTATACTTTGTGTCCAGTGAAAAGCTTTGCATTTGTTTTCAGTACTAAAACCACCCATATGCCCAGTTTGTTCTGTTGGGTTTTTTTTCTTTCTATTAAGATAACACACACAGATATATATACTCAGAATCTCTGGTTTCTGAGAACTGATCACAGTAATAATTTCTAAGTATTTAACATACTTGAAACATTAAATCTGGGCACCAAACTTCAATGATTTCCAAATACCATCAGAATTTCCAGATGCTGTCAGAATTACAGTGATGGCAGCTGGAAATCAGGATGGTCCCTACTGCAGTGAACATAAAAGTCAGCAGGCAGGATCACTGGTAGTTGCTTTTCTGTTTTCTCTGTCTCTCTCTGTAGTCACATGTCAGTCCCAGAGGTACCAGCATTTCCACTAAAGGTGAACCACTGGCCTTGAAGTCTTTAAGTTAATTCCAAATTAGAGAAAGTGTAGACCTGCTCCAGCAGTAAGGAGTCCCCTCCCCTCATTCTCTACTTATGCTCCCCCACATCTTGATTGCTGCCTTTCTACAGAATGAGCTCCTTCTCTGTTTGAGCCTCTTCCAGGTTGTATTTGTCAGGCTGCTGGCCTGCTTTTAGGCTTTTGATTTGCATCACCATTTTCTAGATGGAGAAGAGATCAGAATGGGAAACAGTGGTGAAAAAAAGGCTGGGCACTGCTATAACCTGTCGTGTTGGATTTCAGTAGTGTCAGTGTGAGATGTCAGGGTGCACCTCCCAGAAGCTGTGGAGGCTGCTGGCTTGGGAGGTGGGGATGGAGCTCTTGGGGCCATGCAGGACAGACCAGCAGTGCTGTCACAGCCCTGCCTCAGTCACTCACTGATTTGGGATGTCTCTCTTTCTTTTAGGACTGTGGCTTGCAGCTCAATGATGAGGAAGGCCATCGTTGTTACCCCTTAGAGGGCCACTTGCTCTGCCACAGCTGTCATATCAGGCGCCTTAATATCAAACTGCCATCACATCCACCTCCCAGCTACCCCATGCATGTCACAGAACTCTGAAAGACATTTCCATGATCCATAAGCCGTTTGAAAGAGAAGACAAAAATGTAAAAATTACTTTCGTGTTCCTTTAAAGATGAGGTTCCGGTAATAACCATCTAAACGAGCTATTTATTTTTTGAATCAGAGGTGAGGGGTCCTTTTCTGATCTTGTACATATGCATTCTTTTATCTAGACATTTTCACTGAGACACCGGCTACTTGAATAAATAATTCACCACTTAACTGTAACTGTAAATGGCAGCATTTCTAAAAACAATGGTACAAAGGGCTGTTCTGCACTCCCTACTCACTTCCTTCAGTGGAGATTTCACCCAAGTAAGGAGTGTAGAATTACTTTCCAAAAGTTAGCACCTTATCATATTGCAGCAAGCATGATAAGATAAATGCTAGCATTTTAGCTAGTTTTGTTGAATTCTGGTCTTAGAGAATACTTAGATTCCAGAAGTAGGGAATAGGCAGCAAGCAGGTGTTTTAGCCAGGGCAGTTTTCAGCGAGGTTAAAGAAGGGTGTTGTGTAAAGAAGTGTCAGGCCAGCTCTCCATCCTACAGGGTCCCACAGTCATCCAAAGACTAATTATTTAGCCTGTTCAAGAAATACAGCAAGCAGCTGATGTAAAACCCATGGTACAGAGGATTGTATCCAAAAGATTGGCATGTGCAGGGTCAGCAGTTGCAGCCCTCTGTAACTGCTGGCTGTGTAGCCATGGCTTCAAAATGCATTCCTATCAACTGGACCATTTGGCACTTACTAAAGAATTCATCTTTCAAACCTGTTTTTTGTTCAGTAGGGTTCTATGCAAAAGTACACTTGTCTTTATACTGCTTGTTTTATCCAAGACTTCATTTGTTACCAACTGCTTCATGATTGTATGTTGAGACATTATTAAAGAGAGGCACGGTGGTTTGGTATTACCTTTTCAGCTTTGTGTTCTTTTCGAGATTAGTTTTGAACTGATTATGGTGATTGTCTTCATTGGAAAACAAAGTGCAGCATGGCAGGAACAGTAATTTAGAGAGTCAGACCATGAAACATCAGTGTTTACAACAAGTATTAGCTGTACATACAATGTACACACTTTCATGTTTTGCATAAGCTTTTACAGTACCCTCAGACCTCTGGGGAGAAATATATGTCTTCCATATAGGAAGTTAGATGAATCTTTTTTTATGGTTTGTTTTCTACCATGTGTTGATGTTTTACATGCAAATCACACATCTGTATGTCAAAAAAATTCCTTGCATTCTCATGAGAATTGACCCAGCCTTCCTGAAGCCGCATTTATCATTGCTGTCTTTAACAGTATTCAAAGTTACAATAAAATAAAATTCTTCATCTCCAGAGGAAGTAGAAATACCAGACTGGATTCTTGGCATGTGTAAATTGGGACATTTCCATGCCAGTTCTCAGCACTTGAGAATCTGCCTGATCCATTCGGAAATGATCCCATGTTAAATTCAGCATGCAGACTGATGGGATGACTTATTTGGCAACACCATTGCAGTTTAGTTTCTTATGCTCCATTGACTTTTTGAAAGCCATTTGTGGTGCTCTTGAAAAGCACAAAGAGCATCCAATAGCCACTAATTCCTAAGTGGAATAATTAACTCCCTTAACAGAACTTTTTTGATAGTCTGGAATTTCCTTATGGGGAAAGGTGGGGGCAGGGGAACAGGAAAAATTCCTGAGAACCATTTTTTCTGTACGGAACAAAAGGGATGCTTTCCTGAACTTCTGCCAGACTTCCATTGGCCTAGATTAACCTGTCCTACTGAAGGCTCCATTTTGTAGTTAATATGTATCAGTTTATAATTCACATGTTTAATGTGAATGCCAGGATTTGAAGGAACTGCAGTGCAATCAGTGCCCCATTTCTGCACTGTGGTCCAAGAGGCCTGGCCTGCAAATGCGAGGCCAGGAGTGCACATGCATTTCTGTCTGCATTTGCAGACACACCCTCTGTGCCCAGGGTCAGCAGCTCAGCCTCAGGAGGAACTGGAACTACATGTGCCAGCAAATGTTGGAGAAAGGGGAAAAAATGTCTTAAACTGGATTGTATGACAAGGTCAATTCCTTCAGGTTATTACAAACGTGGAGGGTGCCAGAGCTTCAGGATAAACTTTCAGCATCAGCTGCAATGGAATGTTTTTTCCATTGTGGGAGGGTGCTTTGGACCACATTTAGCTTTGAGGCATTTTCACTTACATGTCTTTACAATATATGTTAAGGGACCCAGATTAAGAAAAGATCATTAAAATACATAGAGAAGGTTTGGGTCTGTTCCTGGGGACAAATACCAGTTACTTGCTGAACTGGAAAAATGCTTTGCTCTACCAGTAGAGAAGCACAACCTCCATAGTGACAGTGGACAGAGCTGGAGGTGACTTGTTCTGGCAATCAGCCCAGTGCTCAGCCAGCACCTTCCTGGACACTTGCATCCATCAGGGGCAGGTTTAAATTTCCAACATCTTTCCAAGGGCCAGCACATTTTCAAACATGTACATACCACACCATTTCTTTGTTGTTTTTTTTTTTTCAAAACAATCATCCTGTAGAACAGAATATTTAATTTCATTTCACATGCTGATTTTTCAGCCTCTTGTAGTTCTGTGCAGTTCTGATCTGTTAAGTGTCATCATGGTAAAAATTCTGAAAGGTAATATGTCAATACAGAATAAGCAATTTGTTTAAAACCAGAAAGCAGCAGTTGTTGTTTTAGTATTTTCTATAGACAGATGCATTCCATTACTGTATTATCAAGTACAGCTTTGCTTTTCCAGCATTTACTATAAAAACTGGGTCTTGAGTGAGATTTGCCAGGTTTGGTTTCAAAAACCCTAAAATAATGATATGCTGTACTCTTTAGTGCTATTGACAGTTTCTGCACATTTTCCCTCCTGCCTGGGGAATTATGTAAATGAGAAATCTCATTTTAATGATTTTCTTACAGAATATTCTTATGTTAAATCAGTTCAACACAGATGAAAACTTCCTAAGTTCATCTTGCAGTGCAACAATTGTTCTTCGGAAGCCTTTACTGTACTTTCAAAATATTTCCATGAAGTTACAGCAATAACAATCTGTTCTCATTTGTATCAGGCTCCTTCCCATGTAGGAAGGGAATCTTCCCAAGCCCCCCCAGCTCAAGCTGCTGTGGGCACTGCAGGGTCCCTCGTCCATGGGAGGACATGTTCCAAAGAAAGGACCAAAATAATCATTTGAAAACATAATGCACTCAGAGAATTGAGCTTACAGAGAGGTGTTTGTTTGGGTTTCTTTTTTCCTTTTACTTGTGTGCACGTGTGTGTATATATTTTGTAAGGTGGAGCTTCAAAAGGAGAACATGGTTAGAGGAACTCTTTAAGACCAGAAATTCCAGAGTAGTAAAGTAAACCAAAGCTCTAAAGGAAACAAAAGCTGCTTTCTTGTGTTTCAAGAAAAGTTTAAAAGTTTGTGATTCATCCTGTAACTAATGCCGTAACTAGAGTATATAATTTGACTTAAATTAAGTTTTCATTTAAAAAATATTTTCATTTTCTTTAAAAGAATATAGTTTTCTTCCAAGAACTTGGACCAACATTGATTTTTATTTTGTAGGAAATATATGAATTCCCAGTTTGTATATCATGTAACTAGTTTACATGCTGAAAATATACATTAGTTAACTATTTTTGTATATATATATCCTTGTAAAACCTTTCCATGTGCTTCTGTCTTTTAGTCTTTAGAATTACTTGTGGTTTTGTGTTTCAGTGTTTGATTCCCTTGATTGTTGAAGAAAAAAATTGGGAAATGTAGATTTATTTATCTAAAGAAGAAGCTACTTGCTATCATTTTAAGTTATTTAATATTAAAGTCAGAAGTTTCATTTAACCTTAGATGCTATAATCTGCTTTTTTCAATAAAGACATTTTGTAGTTATCTCTGGTTTTGTAGTCTGTTGCATGGAAGTATTTTATTTTTATTTAATCTAGGTGGGCATCAAAACAGTTTTCAGGAACCCTTGTATTGCCTACAGAAATGCCTAACTGATATTAATTGATTGCAGCTGCATTCATGAAAGATTTTGGTCCTCTAGTGCAAGTGTTACTAATTAAAGTCTAAAATATGCCCACAGCTAAAGTTCTGCAGCTGCACTTAGAAAAGAATTTAGTCACTCTGGCACTTTTTAATTAAGCTTTAACCAGTTTGGCTAGTTCACATGTTGGACAGTCAGTATTGAGGAACACTTCTTTTCAAAACTCTCATTATTTTTTGGAGTGTTCCACAAGAGAAGTATTTGCCTGGGCAGTGAACTGAGACAGCTTGAAGCACTTGGACCTTGGTTTGGGGAATTTTCTTTATATTCTAAGTCACAGTAATGCAGAAACCGTGGCCAGAGCTCTGATAGGATCAAAGAGATGCACGTGTATCTATTTTGCCTTTCTGAAACATTTTGCCACTTTTCCTGTCTCCAGTTTTATGGCACAGATGGAGCTTGGTCACTTTTACCTTCCTCACCTGGCAGCTCTGCAGGAGCAGCTGTGTCTGGCAGGCAGAACGTGCCCTGGTGTCTTGTCTCCAGCTGGCCAGGGGAGAGGACAGCAGCCAGTTCCTTCCTTGTTTCCCCGTGTTCAGTGCCCTCCTTTGTACCAGCACTGTGCTCTCCTGGTGAGTGTTCCCTGCAGTGCCTGGCAGACATCAAACCCTCACAAGCTGCTCTTTGGGTGTGCGGCCACCCTCCCATCAGAGGGGCCTCTGCAGCTCTGCCACCCTGGCTTGGCAAAGCCCAAATGGCTTCACAGCTGGAAAAGAGACTTCTTGGAGGTTTTGCCACAATGGCTATTTTGGCAAATTTTTCTTCTGCACAGTCAGAATGGAAAGAGTTACAGATGCCACAATTGTTTTAGGGACACAGTCTGCACTTTGGTGCTTTGAAACAGATGTACCATACTTCTGTAGGGCCTTCACATACATTCTATTTTCTCATTATTTTCAAAAACTCATTCAAAATGAGCAATCCATGCCCTCCTTAAAGGCACAAAGACTGGCCAACTCAAAGCATTTTAACAGGGCCTTACTACATGGTGACACAAGTGTACTTAATAAAAATCTGCGACATCTTAATGCAGCAGGAATTTACACCAACTCATAATCAGCCTGAGAAGAACAGAGTTCTTAAAGATCTTAACTGTTCCATGTGGGCCTCTGTGCAGAAAGCACATTCTGGAAAAATGAACATTCATTCACGGCAGGGTGGGTGTGAATCAGGCCCCAGTTCCCAGGAGAGCACCACCAAAGGCTGCCCTGTGCTCTGTCCCTGGCCCTGTGCTGTGTCCCTGGCCCTGTGCTCTGTCCCTGCCCTGTGCTCTGTCCCTGCCCTGTGCTCTGTCCCTGTCCTGTGCTCTCCCTGCCCTGTGCTGTGTCCCTGCCCTGTGCTCTGTCCCTGCCCTGTGCTGTGTCCCTGGCCCTGTGCTCTGTCCCTGCCCTGTGCTCTGTCCCTGTCCTGTGCTTTCCCTACCCTGTGCTCTGTCCCTGCCCTGTGCTCTGTCCCTGCCATGGCAGCCAGGCCCCAGCCCGTGTGTTCTGGCACTGTTGAATCCCATGGCTGCTCAAGGTGTTGTGCAGTTGATTTGGGAGGGCTTGGCCAGCCCTGCTTTTCCACCTCACCAGCAATCCCCAGAGCTGCACCCCTCCCCTTGCAGCTAATGCATAAAACAAGGATTCTGCCAGGTCATGCCAGGACTGACCCAGAGACATTTGGCTAATTATAGAAACTGTTAGGAATATGTGAACTAGGCTGGTGAGGCTGTCTCCAGTCCCCCAGTTCATAAACTCAGAATAAATGAGGCTGGGCAAGATGTCATGTGATGAAACACCTCACCATCAACATGCACACACACACAAAGTAAAACGTGTGTACATAAATCATAGA